CCACCAATAAAAGACAGGTCAAATATACCTGTGATTCTTAGACGTGGCTAACACTGCTTCATGTAAGAGAACGTTATTCACATTAGTTAACCGCAGGTAACCTGAAGAGCATCCTCAAGTTTTCTAAGAAGGGAATGTGGAGGTGTGGGCAGCTGACTACCAGTAGGATGCTTTGAACCATAAAAATGATGATGTAGGAGACTAATGATAAAGATTGTAAAATACATTGTTGAGAGGGAAAAGTGAGTTATGACAGCAGCGTGGAGTGGGCCCTACCACACGGTGAGGGTTTGTTTTTTGTTTGCCTTTTAGCTATTCTGTTTTTTGCTTCTCTGTATTCTATATGACAAATATCTTTTGTAAGGACAAATAAAACATTATTTGAAAGCAGTGATTCTCAACATTCCTAATGCCTCTCTTTAATACAGTTCCTCATGTTGTAGTGATCCCCAACCATAAAATTATTTTCATTGCTGGGTGGCACCTGTGGCACAGTGAGTAGGGCACCGGCCCCATATACCAAGGGTGATGGGTTCAAACCTGGCCCTGGCCAAACTGCAACAAAAAAATAGCCAGGCGTTGTGGTGGGTGCCAGTAGTCCCAGCTACTCGGGAGGCTGAGGCAAGAAAATTGCCTAAGCCCAAGAGCTAGAGGTTGCTGTGAACTGTGATGCCACAGCACTCTACCAAGGGCCACAAAGTGAGACTCTGTCTCTTAAAAAAAAATTATTTTCATTGCTACTTCATAACTGTAATTTTGCTACTGTTATGAATAGTAATGCAAATATCTGATATGCAGGATGTATTTTCATTGTTACAAAGGGGTCCTGACTCACAGGTTGAGAACCACTGTTTTAAAGAAACAGGCTTAGGGGTGGCGCCTGTGGCTCAAAGGAGTAGGGCGCTGGCCCCATATGCCAGAGGTGGCGGGTTCAAACCCAGTACTGGCTAAAAAAAAAAAAAAAAAGAAATAGGCTTGTAAGTGTGAAATAGTAGATGATGCTCTGTGAAGTGCGAGACCAAAGGAAAAAGAAGCTTTAAGTTTTGACGAGTTTTAAGAACTATGTTTTAAAATGTGTTGTACAGATGTGTATTTTTTTATTGGTGTCTCACCACTCTCACAAAATATTAGGTATGCTTAAAAAAGATGCACACAATAGAAGAAAATGATTGGAAGAGAAGATCAAGGCAAAATGTAATCGGAAAACAAAATAAAGCCAGAGGTATGTTAATACCCTTAAAAAACTTATGCCTGAAGGTCGTGTACTTGCCAGAGGGTACCATAAATTGGGCTCTGAAGCTAAAGCAGAGGGAAAATATAGTTACAAGTTTCACATGGTCCGTAAGATTTTTTAAAGTTGCTTAAGAGAAGTATAGTTTTGGTTTAAAAGCCTGCGAAACATTTCTCCCATGGTTCTCACAAGGGAGTAGCGTGAGATTCAGCCACTCTCCTGCGGCTACTGACCTTCTCTTTTTTCCTTTACAGCCAAACTTCTTGAAAGAACTGTCTCCATATGCCGCGTCCACTCATCTCCGCCTCTTCCCCTCACTGCGAACAGATTTACATTAAGGTCTCCAATGCCTTCACTGTGGCAAGGTTTTAATACCCAAATGATAACATATACACCTACTAAAGCAAGATACAAAATGGTTACTCCCAAATCTACTCAGCTATGTCCAATTATTTATGCGGAGAAGAAAAATTGACGGGTGACAGATTCATGAAGATTTTAAGTTACTTCTGTGTAGCTGGACGGCCGGTGAGTTTTCATTCTTTTGTCATTTTCCGTGGTTTTAAAAACAAGCACACTAGAACACATGAGATGTAAATTGGAAATTCTCAACTTACATTTTCTAAAAGGAGGCGGGAAACTAGAGAAGTGACAGTGAAGAGCTACTGGATCACACTTCATTTCGCCTAAAGCCTGACGCAAAGAAAAACAAGAGGGCGCCCAGGGCCCGGACAGTCTCATAGGACGATATTCTTATAAGAGTCTTTTCATCCCCTTTTGCTCATTTGAGCATCTCGGCCTTTCTAGCTAACGGCTGCAAACCGCAGGGAACTGTCCACCGCCTGCGGTTGCCCTGGCAACACCCAGCGGCCTCAATCTCGCTATCGTAACTGCGCGCCTTCTCTCTTCACTTCCGGGTGAAGGGCCAATTCCTTCCGGAAGGGAATGCTTGCCTGTTTCGCGGTATTTCCTGGCGGGGCGGGATTTCCGGATTGAGTGTAACATATGTTTGGGGAGGACGTTGGGGACTGTCATGTTGTTTCCCAACGTTTAAAACGACTGGAAAGCTAATGAAGGGTTTTAATCTCACGACATTTTTGTTGGCCTTTGATAAATTAGACTTTAGCGATTAAAAAGCTGAAGGGTGCATGTGTTTTATTTAGCTATTCCATTATGTATGTGTATTACAAAACATCATGTACGCTATGAGGATGTATAATTTTATTGTCAATGAAAAATAGCACGGAACCCTAAAAATCTGCGTTGAAGTGAAAATATAGAGGTGAATTTTTGAAATAAAAATGTTTTATTTGGGAAGAAAACTGTAACTTGGGACACATATATAGATGAGGTGGTCTTTGGCATGTCTGAAGAATAGAGGATTAGAAGTTTTATAAAAAGGAGAAATGTTACATACTCTTCAAGAAAGCTTATTGGCACTAATAGGTTTTGGGGAGTTGGCAAGCTCTGGTTGGTGAGTAACTGCGTGAGTGAAATTAAGAGCTGTAGTAGGTTGTTTTACTAGTCGTTAGATAAAACTGGTTGCAGGTTATGATAGTTGGTTTTAGCAGTCAGGATTATAGGGAATTATATTTTGCAGCAATGTTTTGTGCCCTGAGTGTTTTTTCTCGTGGCCTCTCAACTCTGTTTCAGTTGGATATGACAAGAATGACCCAAATTGTATGATCAACTTTTATGGGTTTTTTGGGATCAAGATCTTCTTTTTAAAGTATCACTGATTTATGATTCTTATTCTTTTTTTTTTTTTTTTTGAGATGGAGCCTCAAGCTATCCCCCTGGGTAGAGTGCCATGACATCACGCTCACAGCAACCTCCAACTCCTGGGCTCAAGCGAGTCTCCTGCCTCAGCCTCCCAAGTAGCTGGGACTACAGGCGCCCGCCACAACGCCTGGCCATTTTTTAGTTGCAGCCATCATTGTTGTTTGGCGGGTCCGGGCTGGGGATTCGAACCCTCCACCGTAGGTGTATGTGGCTGGCGCCTTAGCTGCTTGAGCCACAGGTGCCGAACCTCTTATTCTTATTATTATTTTAGAGACGAGGTTTCCATGTGTCGCCCAGGATGGAGTGCAGGGGTGCAATCACAGCTCATTGGAGCCTTGGACTTCTAGGTTTAAGCAGTCCTCTTTCCTCAGCTGTCTTTCCAATCACAGCTCACTGGAGCCTTGAACTTCTAGGTTTAAGCAGTCCTCTTTCCTCAGCTTCCGAAGTAGATGGGACTACAGGCTTGCACAACTATGCCTGGATAATTTTTATTTATTTTTTGTAGAATCACTGGTTTTGCCATGTTGCCCAGGCTGGTCTTGAACTCCTGTCCTAAAGGGATCCCCCTGCTTTAGTCTCCCAAAGTGGTGATTAGTTATTTTGTAGTGAGGTTTAATTGCCTTTTGGTGTTGGGATGTACTTCTCTCAGTTGTCTTTGTCTCATGTTGGGGGAGGGCATGGGGGCTTTATGTCAGAGATTTGGGCCATATTTAAGTAATAAAGAAGCCATAAGAAAAAAAATTTTTTAGGGTAGGTTTGTTTGGAGACTACTCTTTAAATTTTTCTATAGGCATTATATGTTGGGATTATAGCTTGAGGTACTGAGTTAATATTACTCTGTTAGAGTTGATTTTTTAAAGATTATTACCTTTACGTCTTTTTAAAGATTAAAATGATTAATAATAATAGAATACAGCCAGGTGCAGTGGCTTATGCCTGTTAACCTAGCACTTTGGGAGGGTGTGTCAGGAGAATCACTTGAGGTCAGGAGTTTGAGAGTAGCCTGAGCAACATGGTGAGACCTTGTCTTTACAAAAAAATAAAAATATCCCTGAGAATTTGAGAGAGATTAAACAAAACAAAACAACAAAACACACACACAAAATAAAATTAGCCAGGAATGATGGTGTGTGACTGTAGTTCCAGGGGCTACTTGAGAAGCAGAGGTAGGAGGATCATTTGAGTCTAGGAGTTTGAGGTCGCAGTGAGAGTCATGATTGGGCCGCTGCACTATAGCCAAGGCAACAGAGTGAGGCCCTGACTCAAAGATTGAAAAAAAAAAAAAGAATAAATATAGTTTGTATAAGTGTTGACACCCAGCCAGGTTCATTTTCCCACTCCCCAAGAGAAAGCCAATGTCCAGAGACAACAGGGTTTTCAGGAGATAGTTTATTTCGCAGAGTGGTAAGTGGGGAGATGGGAGATTTTTCTCAAGTCCACCTTTAAAGACAGTTTGGTGGGCAGAGAGTTATGCAATCAGGGTCTGTTAACTGGCTGGTTTCAAGGCCGAACCAGTCCTTTGGTATGTGCCGCTGTCTGTGTGGGTCAGTTATTAGAATGCAGTTCCTTGAGTTGGGGGCGGAGGTGGGGATCCGAGACCAGTTGAGTCAGTTTTTTGGTCTGGATGAGTCAGTCAATCCACCCAGGACGCCCTTAGCAGCTCAGCGGCAGGAGGCTGCAGAATAACGCTTATGAGGCCCGGCCACTCACGCTGAGGGGTAGCAGAGAAGTCCACAGCAGCACAGGTGTCCCCTATGAGGGTAATCGCCAGGTCCAGCTCCACCGCTGGACCGGCCAGGAGTTCCGCTTCTTTCACGCGGTCCCTCGTTCTCGCCCCGCCCTCTCCCGGCTCCTCCCCCTCCTCATTCGTTCTCCCTTGCTT